GATGAGTTCATGAGGCCTCAGTGGCAAATCAGTGAACAGTAGCCTAAACAGCTACAAGTCACTGCGACCAATGTCACTGAACCCACTGCAGTCTCAGAACCATACTTTACTTTAATGATGAGCTATTCAATCTTCTGAATCAATTAACTAAATTAAACCCCAATAAATCTGATGACTGATTTGATACATTTATTATTTAATCAAGATGTATTCCATGGGCCTCAGTGTTTATATATCAGTGACCAGTTACCTGAACAAACTTCAAGTTATATCTATTGTCACTGATCTCACTGCAGTCCCTGAATCATACTTGACTGTAGTACTTGATCACATTCAGTCTTCTGAGTTAAATAATATGTAATTAGGCTTGAATTTTAGCCTTTCAAGAGTTAACAGGGAAATGAAATCGCATTAGACTTCTAACCCCTGCAACTCTAGTACGGGACATCCGTCCTGTACGAACAGACGCACAAATGTGTGATTACTAACTACTAACATCAAATTAATCTAATAATTCGAAGGAGGAGTATCGGTGTTCGTCTGTTCTAAATAGGACTTCGACCCTTTAGCAGCCCCCGGGGAATTATGTCGGAAAATTCGACACCATTTAATAATATCATATAGGCAGATAATATTTCTGTGTTGTATAAACAAGTTAACCCATAGAAAATGTAACTTGTAGTGAAATTTCCGTCTATAGAAAACGGGATATCATTACCACATACTATTATAAATTCACCACCTATTATGGTGGGAATTATTCTTAAATACATTAGTCTTTGGACTTTACTATCATAAAAACATCTCATATAAATTAACCTAATTATATAAATTAAAATAGAGTAAATGTGACCCTTCTATCACTTACTGTCATCTGGACAATGTAGGCGAGTAGCGTCAGGGAGGAGGGAGTGGTCAGCCATTGTTATTGTATAAGACCACAGAGTCGTGGAGCGAATTACGGCTCCTATAAATTCTTTTGGACGAAGTGTTATGGAAGATCAGAGTAGTGATCTGCCATCATCAACACGCTGTCATCAATTTCAAGGGAAGTGTCTTTCCGAAACCCGTTTATCTAATCATTTTTGGCCATTAATGTCATTAGATAGGGCGTACCGGTTAGAACAAGAATGATCGACTCAAACAAAGTAATTAAGCCTAGGTCTTTATGGTTCCATGTACAGTATTTTCTCTGATATAGCTGTCATATATTAGGATTCTGGCTTCTATAGCTAGCGCCCTTTTGACAGGTCAAGACGAGGAAGCATGCTTTATGTACCAGTTACTGGGTGATGGAAGCTACCTCAAAGAGGATAATTTGGTGTCTACATCCTGGTTATACCTGGTGCACTAAGGCCTGCTGTACAATAAGATAAGGAACCTCTTCAATGTACACTAATGTGTAGTTAATACTGTAGTTTGATTGGCTGCATATATATAAATTCAATATAAACTCCCCCCTAATGTGTAAAGGATCGATTTTTGAGATTATTGCAGAAATACAGTCCACTTAACATTATACAAATTGCTATCGAAGCATACAAATTAACGTAAATATAAATTCTATATAAATTCATATAAATTAAATAAATATAAATCTCACAGGTCGGTTCCCACACCTGTTATCACTCACACGAATCTTTTTATCATTGGCATGTATCTTGTTACTAGTGGCACATATCAGGTTGTCAGTGGCACGTATCATGGTATCAGTGGCACGTATCATGTTGTCAGTAACACGTATCATGTTGTCAGTGGCACGTATCATGGTGTCAGTGGCATGTATCTTGTTGTCAGTCGCATGTATCTTGTTGTCAGTGGCATGTATCTTTTTTCAGTGGCACATATTTTGTTGTCAGTAGCACGTATCTTGTTGTCAGTGGGATGTATCTTGTTGTCAGTGGCACTTATCATGTTGTCTGTGGCATGTATCTTGTTGCCAGTGGCACGTATCATTTTCTCAGTGGCACGTATCAGTTTGTCAGTGGGACGTATCACGTTGTCAGTGGCACGTATCAGGTTGTCAGTCACACGAATCTTGTTATCAGTGGCACGTATCTTGTTATCAGTGGCACGTATCTTGTTGTCAGTGGCACGTATCTCGTTGTCAGTTGCACGTGTCTAGTTATCAGTGGCATGTATCTAATTATCAGTGGCACGTATCTTGTTATAAGTAGCACATATCCTGTTGTCAATGGCACGTATCTTGTTATCAGTGGCACGTATCTTGTTATCAGTGGCACGTATCCTGTTGTCAGTGGCACGTATCCTGTTTTCAGTGGCACATATCTTGCTATCAGTGGCACGTTTGTCAATGGCACGTATCATGTTGTCAGTGGCACGTATTTTGTTGTCAGTGGGACGTACCTTTTTGTCGGTGGCACGTATCTTGTTGTCTATGGCATGTATCATGTTGTCACTGGCATGTATCATTTGGTCTTTGGCACGTATCCTGTTGTCAATGGCTTGTATCATGTAGTCTGTGGCACGTATCAGGTTGTCAGTTGCATGTATCTTGTTGTCAGTGGCACGTATCATGTTGTCAGTGGCACGTATCAGGTTGTAAGGGAACGTATCAGGTTTTCAGTGGCACGTATCAGGTTGTCAGTGGCACGTATCATGTTGTCAGTGGCATGTATCCTGTTGTCAGTGGCACGTATCCTGTTGTCAGTGGCACGTATCTTGTGGTCAATAGCACGTATCATGTTGTCAGAGGCATGTATCTTTTTGTCAGTGTCATGTATCATTGTGTCAGTGGTACGTATCTTGTTGTCTGTGGCATGTATCTTGTTATCAGTGGCTCGTATCTTGTTGTCAGTGGCACGTATCATGGTGTCAGTGGCACTTGTCTTGTTGTCAGTGGCATGTATCTTGTTGTCAATGGCACGTATCATGGTGTCAGTGGCACGTATCTTGTTGTCAGTGACACGTATCTTGTTGTCAGTGGCATGTATCATGTTGTCAGTGGCACGTATCTTGTTGTCATTGGGATGTATCGTGTTATCAGTGGCATGTATCGTGTTGTCAGTAGCATGTATCAAGTTGTCAGTGGCACGTATCCTGTTGTCAGTGGCATGGATCATGTTGTCAGTGGCATATATCATGTTTCCACTGGCATGTATCATTTTGTCTGTGGCACGTATCCTGTTTTCAGTGGCACATATCTTGTTATCAGTGGCATGAGCTTGTTATCAGTGGTACGTATCGTGTTGTCAGTGGCATGTATCCTGTTTTCAGTGGCACATATCTTGTTATCAGTGGCACGTTTGTCAATGGCACGTATCATGTAGTGAGTGGCACGTATCAGGTTGTCAGTGGCATGTATCTTGTTGTCAATGGCACGTATCATGTTGTCAGTGGCACGTATCAGGTTGTAAGAGCATGTATAATGTTGTCAGAGGCACGTATCTTGTTGTCATTGGTACGCATCATGTTGTCAGTGGCATGTATCATGTTGTCACTGGCATTTATCATTTTGTCTGTGGCACGTATCCTGTTGTCAGTGGCATATATCTTGTTATCAGTGGCATGTATCAGTGGTACGTATCCTGTTGTCAGTGGCACGTATCCTGTTTTCAGTGGCACATATCTTTTTATCAGTGGCACGTTTGTCAATGGCACGTATCATGTTGTCAGTGGTACGTATTTTGTTGTCAGTGGGACGTACCTTGTTGTCGGTGGCACGTATCATGTTGTCAGTGGCATGTATCATGTTGTCACTAGCATGTATCATTTGGTCTGTGGCACGTATCCTGTTGTCAGTGGCACGTATCTTGTTATCAGTGGCATGTATCTTGTTATTAGTGGCACGTATCCTGTTGTCAGTGGCAGGAGTCCTGTTTTCAGTGGCACATATCTTGTTATCAGTGGCACGTATCATGTAGTCAGTGGCACGTATCAGGTTGTCAAATGCATGTATCTTGTTGTCAGTGGCACGTATCATGTTGTCAGTGGCACGTATCATGTTGTCAGTGGGATGTATCTTGTTATCAGTGGCATGTATCTTGTTGTCAGTGGCATGTTTCAAGTTGTCAGTGGCACGTATCTTATTGTCAGTGGCATGTATTATGTTGTCAGTGGCATGTATCATGTTGTCACGACATGTATTATTTTGTCTGTGGCACGTATCCTGTTGTCAGTGGCACATATCTTGTTATCAGTGGCCTGAGCTTGTTATCATTGGTACATATCCTGTTGTCAATGGCACGTATCTAGTTGTCAGTGGTATGTATCTTGTTGTTAGTGGCATGTATCTTGTTGTCAGTGGCACGTATCCTGTTGTCAGTTGCACGTTTCTTGTTGTCAGTGGCATGTACCTTGTTGTCAGTGGCATGTATCTTGTTGTCAGTGGCATGTATCTTGTTGTCAGTGGCAGGTATCTTGTTGTCAGTGGCACGTATCTTGTTATCAGTCTCACGTATCTTGTTATCAGTGGCACGTATCTTATTATCAGTGGCACGTATCTTGCAGTCAGTGCCACGTATCTTTTTGTCAGTGGCACGTGTCTTGTTATCAGTGGCATGTATCTTGTTGTCACTGTCACGTATCTTGTTATAATCAGCACATATCCTGTTTTCAGTTGCACGTATTTTGTTATCAGTAGCACATATCTTGTTATTAGTGGCACGTTTGTCAGTGGCACATATCATGTTGTCAGTTGCATGTATCTTGTTAGTTGGACGTATCCTGTTGTCTGTGGCACGTATCTTGTTGTCAGTGGCACATATCATGTTGTCAGTGACACGTATCTTGTTGTCAGTGGCACATATCGTTTTCTTAGTGGCACGTATCTTGTTGTCAATGGCACGTATCATGTTGTCAGTGGCACGTATCTTGTTGTCAGTGGGACGTATCACGTTGTCAGTGGCACGTATCAGGTTGTCAGTCACACGAATCTTGTTATCAGTGGCACGTATCTTGTTATCAATGGCACGTATCTTGTTGTCAGTGGCACGTATCTTGTTGTCAGTAGCATGTGTCTAGTTATCAGTGGCATGTATCTAATTATCAGTGGCACGTATCTTGTTATAAGTAGCACATATCCTGTTGTCAATGGCACGTAGTTTGTTATCAGTGTCACGTATCTTGTTATCAGTGGCAAGTATCCTGTTGTCATTGGCACGTATCCTGTTTTCAGTGGCACATATCTTGCTATCAGTGGCACGTTTGTCAATAACACGTATCATGTTGTCAGTGGCACGTATTTTGTTGTCAGTGGGACGTACCTTTTTGTCGGTGGCACGTATCTTGTTGTCTATGGCATGTATCATGTTGTCACTGGCATGTATCATTTGGTCTTTGGCACGTATCCTGTTGTCAATGGCTCGTATCATGTAGTCTGTGGCACGTATCAGGTTGTCAGTTGCATGTATCTTGTTGTCAGTGGCACGTATCATGTTGTCAGTGGCACGTATCAGGTTGTAAGGGAACGTATCAGGTTTTCAGTGGCACGTGTCAGGTTGTCAGTGGCACGTATCATGTTGTCAGTGGCATGTATCCTGTTGTCAGTGGCACGTATCTTGTGGTCAATAGCACGTATCATGTTGTCAGTGGCATGTATCTTTTTGTCAGTGTCATGTATCATTGTGTCAGTGGTACGTATCTTGTTGTCTGTGGCATGTATCTTGTTATCAGTGGCTCGTATCTTGTTGTCAGTGGCACGTATCATGGTGTCAGTGGCACTTGTCTTGTTGTCAGTGGCATGTATCTTGTTGTCAATGGCACGTATCATGGTGTCAGTGGCACGTATCTTGTTGTCAGTGACACGTATCTTGTTGTCAGTGGCATGTATCATGTTGTCAGTGGCACGTATCTTGTTGTCATTGGGATGTATCGTGTTATCAGTGGCATGTATCGTGTTGTCAGTAGCATGTATCAAGTTGTCAGTGGCACGTATCCTGTTGTCAGTGGCATGGATCATGTTGTCAGTGGCATATATCATGTTTCCACTGGCATGTATCATTTTGTCTGTGGCACGTATCCTGTTTTCAGTGGCACGTATCATGTTGTCAGTGGCACGTATCTTCTTGTCAGTGGGATGTATCTTGTTTTCAGTGGCATGTATCTTGTTGTCAGTGGCATGTATCATGTTGTCACTGGCATGTATCATTTTGTCTGTGGCACGTATCATGTTATCAGTGGCACGTATCATGTTATCAGTGGCATGTATCTTGTTATCAGTGGCACGTATCCTGTTGTCAGTGGCACGTATCCTGTTTTCAGTGGCACATATCTTGTTATCAGTGGCATGTTTTCAATGGCACGTATCATCTTGTCAGTGGCACGTATCAGGTTGTCAGTGGCATGTATCTTGTTGTCAGTGGCACGTATCATGTTGTCAGTGGCACGTATCAGGTTGTAAGGGCACGTAACAGGTTGTCAGTAGCATGTATCAGGTTGTCAGTGGCACGTATCATGTTGTCAGTGGCACGTATCAGGTTTTCAGTGGCACGTATCCTGTTGTCAGTGGCACGTATCTTGTTGTCATTGGCACGTATCATTTTGTCAGTGGCATGTATCTTGTCAGTGGCACGTGTCATAGTGTCAGTGGAACGTATCTTGTTGTCTGTGGCATGTATCTTGTTATCAGTGGCACGTATCTTGTTGTCAGTGGCACGTATCATGGTGTCAGTGGCACGTGTCTTGTTGTCAGTGGAATGTATCTTGTTGTCAATGGCACGTATCATGGTGTCAGTGGCACGTATCTTGTTGTCAGTGGTATGTATCTTGTTGTTAGTGGCATGTATCTTGTTGTCTGTGGCACGTATCATGTTGTCAGTGGCATGTATCTTGTTGTCAGTGCCACGTATCATGTTGTCAGTGGCACATATCTGGTTGTCAGTGGCATGTACCTGTTGTCAATGGCACGTATCATGGTGTCAGTGGCACGTATCATGTTGTCAGTGGCACGTATCATGTTGTCAGTGGCACGTATCTTGTTGTCAGTGACACGTATCTTGTTGTCAGTGGCACGTATCTTGTTGTCAGTGGCACGTACCTTCTTGTCAGTGGCATGTATCTTCTTGTCAGTGGCAGGTATCTTGTTCTCAGTGGCACGTATCTTGTTGTCGGTGGCACGTATCATGCTAACAGTGGCACGTATCTTGTTATCAGTTGCACGTATCTTGTTATCAGTGGCACGTATCTTGTTATCAGTGGCACGTATCTTGTTGTCAGTGGCACCTATCAGGTTGTCAGTAGCACCTATCAGGTTGTCAGTGGCACGTATCTTCTTGTCAGTGGCACGTATCTTCTTGTCAGTGGCACGTATCTTCTTGTCAGTGGCACGTATGTTGTTGTCAGTGGCACGTATCTTGTTGTCAGTGGCACATATCTTGTTGTCAGTGGCACGTATCTTGTTGTCAGTGGCACGTATCTTGTTGTCAGTGGTATGTATCTTGTTGTTAGTGGCATGTATCTTGTTGTCAGTGGCACGTATCCTGTTGTCAGTTGCACGTATCTTGTTGTCAGTGGCATGTACCTTGTTGTCAGTGGCATGTATCTTGTTGTCAGTGGCACGTATCTTGTTATCAGTGGCACGTATCTTGATGTCAGTGCCACGTATCTTTTTGTCAGTGGCACGTGTCTTGTTATCAGTGGCATGTATCTTGTTGTCACTGGCACGTATCTTGTTATAATCAGCACATATCCTGTTTTCAGTTGCACGTATTTTGTAATCAGTGGCACATATCTTGTTATCAGTGGCACGTTTGTCAGTGGCACGTATCATGTTGTCAGTTGCATGTATCTTGTTGTCAGTTGGACGTATCCTGTTGTCTGTGGCACGTATCTTGTTGTCAATGGCACGTATCTTGTTGTCAGTGACACATATCTTGTTGTCAGTGGCACATATCGTTTTCTCAGTGGCACGTATCTTGTTGTCAGTGGCATGTATCATATTGTCAGTTGCATGTATCACGTTGTCTGTGGCACATGTCATTTTGTCTTTGGCATGTATCCTGTTGTCAGTGTCACGTATCTTGTTATCATTGGCACGTTTGTCAGTGGCATGTATCATGTTGTCAGTGGCACATATCATGTTGTCAATGGGACGTATCGTGTTGTCAGTGGCACGTATCTTATTGTCAGTGGCACATATCTTATTGTCAGTAGCACGTATCATGTTATCAGTGGCACTTTTGTCAGTGGCACGTATCATGTTGTCAGTGGCACATATCATGTTGTCAGTGGGACGTATCGTGTTGTCAGTGGCACGTATCTTGTTGTCAGTGGCACGTATCTTGTTGTCAGTCGTACGTATCATGTTGTCAGTGGCATGTATCATGTTGTCGGTGGCACATATCTTGTTTTCAGTGGCACGTATCTAGTTGTCAGTTGCACATATCAGGTTGTCAGAGGCATGTATCTTGTTGTCAGTGGCATGTATTATGGTGTCAGTGGCACATGTTATGTTGTCAGTGGCACGTATCATGTTGTCATTGGCACGTATCATGGTGTCAGTGACATGTATCTTGTTGTCAGTGGCATGTATCTTGTTGTCAGTGGCATTTATCTTGTTCTCAGTGGCAAGTATCTTGTTATCAGTGGCACGTATCTTGTTGTCAGTGGCACATATTATGTTGTCAGTGGCTTGTATCTTTTTATCAGTGCGATATATTTTGTTGTCGGTGGTACGTATCATGTTGTCAATGGCATGTATCTTGTTGTCAGTGGTACGTATTATGTTGTCAGTGGTACATATCTGGCTGTCAGTGGGATATATCTTGTTGTCAGTGCCACGTATCATGTTGTCAGTGGCATGTATCAGGTTGTCAGGGCATGTATCATGTTGTCAGTGGCACGTATCAGATTGTCAATGGCACGTATCATGTTGTCAGTGGCACGTATCTTGTTGTCAGTGTGATATATCTTGTGGTCAGTGGTACGTATCATGTTGTCAGTGGCATGTATCTTGTTGTCAGTGGCACGTATCATGTTGTCAGTGGCACGTATCAGGTTGTCAGGGCACGTATCCGGTTGTCAGTGGCACGTATCAGGTTGTCAGTGGCACGTATCCTGTTGTCAGTGGCACGAATCTTGTTGTCAGTGGCACGTCATCATGTCAGAGGCATGTATCCTGTTGTCCGTAGCACGTATCTTGTTGTCAGTGGCACGTATCTTGTTGTCAGTGGCATGTATCTTGTTGTCAGTGGCACATATAATTATGTCAGTGGCACGTACGTTGTTGTCAGTGGAACGTATCATCGTGTCAGTGGCACGTATCATCGTGTCAGTGGTACGTATCTTGTTGTCTGTGGCATGTATCTTGTTGTCAGTGGCACGTATCTTGTTGTGAGTGGCACGTATCTTGTTATTAGTGTCACATATCAGGTTGTCAGTGGCATTTATTTTGTTGTCAGTGGCACGTATCATGGTGTCAGTGGCACGTATCCTGTTGTCAGTGGCACGTATCCTGTTTTCAGTGGCACATATCTTGTTATCAGTAGCATGTTTTAAATGGCACGTATCATCTTGTCAGTGGCACTTATCAGGTTGTCAGTGCCATGTATCTTGTTGTCAGTGGCACGAATCATGTTGTCAGTGGCACGTATCAGGTTGTAAGGGCACGTAACAGGTTGTCAGTAGCATGTATCAGGTTGTCAGTGGCACGTATCATGTTTTCAGTGGCACCTATCAGGTTTTCAGTGGCACGTATCCTGTTATCAGTGGCACGTATCATGTTGTCATTGGCACGTATCATTTTGTCAGTGGCATGTATCTTGTTGTCAGTGGCATGTGTCATGGTGTCAGTGGAACGTATCTTGTTGTCTGTGGCATGTATCTTGTTATCAGTGGCACGTATCTTGTCAGTGGCACGTATCATGGTGTCAGTGGCCCGTGTCTTGTTGTCAGTGGAATGTATCATGTTGTCAATGGCACGTATCATGGTGTCAATGGCACATATCTTGTTGTCAGTGGTATGTATCTTGTTGTTAGTGGCATGTATCTTGTTGTCTGTGGCACGTATCATGTTGTCAGTGGCATGTATCTTGTTGTCAGTGCCACGTATCATTTTGTCAGTGGCACATATCTGGTTGTCAGTGGCATGTACCTGTTGTCAATATCACGTTTCATGGTGTCAATGACACGTATCATGGTGTCAGTGGCACGTATCATGCAGTCAGTGGCACGTATCTTGTTGTCAGTGACACGTATCTTGTTGTCAGTGGAACGTATCTTGTTGTCAGTGGCACGTACCTTCTTGTCAGTGGCATGTATATTCTTGTCAGTGGCAGGTATCTTGTTCTCAGTGGCACGTATCTTGTTGTCGGTGGCACGTATCATGCTAACAGTGGCACGTACCTTGTTATCAGTTGCACGTATCTTCTTATCAGTGGCACGTATCTTGTTATCAGTGGCACGTATCTTGTTGTCAGTGGCACCTATCAGGTTGTCAGTAGCACCTATCAGGTTGTCAGTGGCACGTATCTTCTTGTCAGTGGCACGTATCTTCTTGTCAGTGGCACGTATCTTCTTGTCAGTGGCACGTATGTTGTTGTCAGTGGCACGTATCTTGTTGTCAGTGGCACATATCTTGTTGTCAGTGGCACGTATCTTGTTGTCAGTGGCACGTATCTTGTTGTCAGTGGTATGTATCTTGTTGTTAGTGGCATGTATCTTGTGGTCAGTGGCACGTATCCTGTTGTCAGTTGCACGTATCTTGTTGTCAGTGGCATGTACCTTGTTGTCAGTGGCATGTATCTTGTTGTCAGTGGCACGTATCTTGTTATAGGTGGCACGTATCTTGCTGTCAGTGCCACGTATCTTTTTGTCAGTGGCACGTGTCTTGTTATCAGTGGCATGTATCTTGTTGTCACTGGCACGTATCTTGTTATAATCAGCACATATCCTGTTTTCAGTTGCACGTATTTTGTAATCAGTGGCACATATCTTGTTATCAGTGGCACGTTTGTCAGTGGCACGTAACATGTTGTCAGTTGCATGTATCTTGTTGTCAGTTGGACGTATCCTGTTGTCTGTGGCACGTATCTTGTTGTCAATGGCACGTATCTTGTTGTCAGTGGCACGTATCTTGTTGTCAGTGGCACGTATCATGTTTTCAGTGGCACGTATCTTGTTGTCAGTGGCACGTATCATATTGTCAGTGGCATGTATCATGTTGTCTGTGGCACGTGTCATTTTGTCTTTGGCATGTATCCTGTTGTCAGTGGCACGTATCTTGTTATCATTGGCACGTTTGTCAGTGGCATGTATCATGTTGTCAGTGGCACGTATCATGTTGTCAGTGGGACGTATCGTGTTGTCAGTGGCACGTATCTTGTTGTCAGTGGCACATATCTTATTGTCAGTGGCACGTATCATGTTATCAGTGGCACTTTTGTCAGTGGCACGTATCATGTTGTCAGTGGCACGTATCTTGTTGTCAGTGGGACGTATCGTGTTGTCAGTGGCACGTATCTTGTTGTCAGTGGCACGTATCTTGTTGTCAGTCGTACGTATCATGTTGTCAGTGGCATGTATCATGTTGTCGGTGGCACATATCTTGTTTTCAGTGGCACGTATCTAGTTGTCAGTGGCACATATCAGGTTGTCAGAGGCATGTATCTTGTTGTCAGTGGCACGTATTATGGTGTCAGTGGCACATATTATGTTGTCAGTGGCACGTATCATGTTGTCAGTGGCACGTATCATGGTGTCAGTGGCATGTATCTTGTTGTCAGTGGCATGTATCTTGTTGTCAGTGGCATTTATCTTGTTCTCAGTGGCAAGTATCTTGTTATCAGTGGCACGTATCTTGTTGTCAGTGGCACATATTATGTTGTCAGTGGCTTGTATCTTTTTATCAGTGCGATATATTTTGTTGTCGGTGGTACGTATCATGTTGTCAATGGCATGTATCTTGTTGTCAGTGGTACGTATTATGTTGTCAGTGGTACATATCTGGCTGTCAGTGGGATATATCTTGTTGTCAGTGCCACGTATCATGTTGTCAGTGGCATGTATCAGGTTGTCAGGGCATGTATCATGTTGTCAGTGGCACGTATCAGATTGTCAATGGCACGTATCATGTTGTCAGTGGCACGTATCTTGTTGTCAGTGTGATATATCTTGTGGTCAGTGGTACGTATCATGTTGTCAGTGGCATGTATCTTGTTGTCAGTGGCACGTATCATGTTGTCAGTGGCACGTATCAGGTTGTCAGGGCACGTATCCGGTTGTCAGTGGCACGTATCAGGTTGTCAGTGGCACGTATCCTGTTGTCAGTGGCACGAATCTTGTTGTCAGTGGCACGTCATCATGTCAGAGGCATGTATCCTGTTGTCCGTAGCACGTATCTTGTTGTCAGTGGCACGTATCTTGTTGTCAGTGGCATGTATCTTGTTGTCAGTGGCACATATAATTATGTCAGTGGCACGTACGTTGTTGTCAGTGGAACGTATCATCGTGTCAGTGGCACGTATCATCGTGTCAGTGGTACGTATCTTGTTGTCTGTGGCATGTATCTTGTTGTCAGTGGCACGTATCTTGTTGTGAGTGGCACGTATCTTGTTATTATCTATCACGTTATCTTGGCCATTGGCGGGAAACGCTGGCGGTGGTACCGGCTCCGTCACAGCTGCTGAAATTTCGTGTTTAATTTCGTCTCCACTCAACGTTGCATGGCCTAACTGCTGCCTAGCACGAGTTAAGTGCATGGAGACTTAATATGACATAACTCACAGTGAACCTCAACAGAAATCAACCAAAATTAACCAATTTTCGCCTGCCTTTCTACGACCCTTCTGCCAAGTGTTCCCAATACGCTAGTCATCCCCTACTATAATTCACCAAGCATCTACCATTAGAAACGCTACCAAGAATCTATTCGTCGAAAACATGCCCAAACATAACAACAAGCAAGGTAGGGGTGCCTCCCGCACTGGTTCCATTACTCCTAGAGCTCTGAATGAAACACTGGCAACGCCGCAACCCTCGCCGATGTTTGTAAACACAGCATCTGCTCCCCCTCCTCACTCCCCCCCTTCAACTCACCTCGGATCTCTAGCTTTAGAAT